CCGGGGGCGCGGGGCCCCTCTGGCCATGCCCAGCCACGGCAGCAGCAGAGGCCTCTGGCGGGTGCCCTACCTTGCTCCAGGTGGTTGGAAATGGTGGCCAGCACGGCGCCCTGGCTCTCACAGGCCTGCTTCGCTTCCTGCCACTTCACCTGCTCCGCCTTGTCGTGGCCCTTGATGCTGAAGCACTAGGCAAGGCCCGAGGGCAGACGGGAGAGAGGTTCAGGAGGCATTTCCCACCCGCCCGCCTGCCCGCCCCTCGCCGCCATGCTCTCCCTCCCTCCCTGTGCTCCCCGGAGCTTGGCTCAGCTTCCAAGTGGGCTCACGCAGCCCTGGGGAGCCCAGTCACAGAGCAGAGCCCCGACGCGCTAGGCGCTGTACAAACAGAACAACCAATGACCTCTGCTATTTTACCCCCTGACAAACACCCCCACATGCACCTGTTCCCCACCCACATACTCCCCTCCCCTGGCTGGCCACAAGCACACCTTGTACCCGACCCACTAACCCACGCACACGTACCCGCGATCCCTTCACACATCCACACAAAACCTCTCTCTCTCTCTCTCACACACACACACACACACACACACACACGGAATGTCTACACTTGCACCCTCTTTCGAGAGAAGGATGCAAATGAAGACATTCGAAATTGCAAATGAAGCCGGGATTTAAATATCCCGTGCTTCATTTGCATATTTGCATTATGGCGCTAATTCGAAATACCAGACGCTGTGCAGACACAGTTATTTCGAGAGAAAACCCTTCTCTCAAAATAACCGGTAAACCTAATTGTACGAGGAATAAGGGTTATTTTGAGAGAAGGGTTTTCTCTCGAAATAACCGCGTCTACACAGCATCTGTTATTTCGAAATAACGCCATAACGCGATTATGCAAATGAAGAGCGGGATATTTAACTCCCGGCTTCATTTGCAGTTTTGAATGTCGTCATTTGCATCCCTCTCTCCAAAGAGGGTGCAAGTGTAGACATACCCACAGCCCCTCACCTCCCACATACTCAATGTGCCAGTTCACTTTCCTCGGGCCCTCAGGCAGCTAGTGGAAAGCCCCAGGAATCCTGCCCCTTGGGGGCCCTAACCACCACTGGGAGCTCAGAACCGCACCAGGGCTCTCTGTCCACGCACAGGAGCGTCACTGGACACGTGTGGGGGGGAGGGGCAGATGTGGCGCCTGCCTGCCTGCTGGGATACCTTGTTGAGGAACGGGATCCAGCCCCATGCACAGCCGCCAGGAACAGGAGCGGGCACTGGGGGCAGCGAGGGCTTCAGGGCCGTGGTGTTACTCCGTTTGCAGATATACGGCAGCGCCGTGAGACACTTCTGGTCCCCCCAGTCTTCTTCAGAGAGAGAGAGAGAGAGAGGGGGGGGGTATGTCTAGACTATGGGGGTTTTTTTCGAAAGGAGATATGCAGATTTGGTGCTAATTTGCATATCTTCTTCCAATCGCTTTTTCGAAAGTGAAAGTAGTCTGGATGCACTTTTTCCTGAAAAAAACCCTTTTTTCGGAAAAAAAACTTCCCAAAACCAAAAACCTACAAAAAGGAAGTTTACGCGGTTTTTCAAAAGGGTTTTTTTCTCAGAAAAAAACGTGTCCAGACTACTTTCACTTTCAAAAAACCCACTTTCGAAAAAGCGATTGGATGAAGATATGCAAATTAACACCAAATTTGCATATCTCCTTTCAAAAATGCACACCAGCCAGCATACCCAGACGGCGCATGCGATTTTCCTCTGTACCACGCAGGCAGCCAGCGGACTGTAACATCCCCGACTCCAAGGCACTGTGCTATTGCAATGGCTGGTGCACACCAGCCAGCGCTCCCTGTAAGCTGGGCACTTGTGCGGCCCCTCGGGAGAGATCCCAATGCCGCCCAGCTGATTAGCAGAGCCCACAGCGAGGTTTGGTTTCTATGGGTGGTGCACATTCACACATGCCTCGGTGCACATAACAATTTATTCCGCACATGGATGGAAAAAATCTGCATGTGGATGGGAAAAGTTACAGGGAACATCGAATCAGTGACCTCAAATATTCACCTCACCGTTTGTCATGCCGGTGCCAGGCATGTTCGGCCAGCATAATGGGTGTGTGGGGGGGTCTGACATGCACATCCCTGGTGGGTGCATGGGATACTGGTTGTCTTAGTCAGAGCAAGGACTTGGAATCAGGACTTAATTCCCAGCTCTGCCGGCAACCAGCTCGGCAGGCCACTTAGTGCCCTCCTGCTAAGACCTCCCAGGGCTGCTACTCACAGCCACCGAGCACCTGCGGCGCCCACTGACTTCACTTGGGGTGCTCAGCACCTCCGAGCATCAGGCCGCTTACGATGATTCCTCCATCTCCGTGCCATGGCTCCCCCGACCAGGATGCTGGGACTGAGCTGCCTGGCTGGGGGGGGCTGCCAACGGGTCTGGGGGGCTCTGAGGCCAGTCTCCTGACACGTACAAACCTCTCACCTCTGCTGGCCGTCACATACACGCACTTCTTCTCCTTGCTGATTGGCCGCGGCTTGCCCGGCGCCCACGAGATGAAGTTGAGGAGGGAGCCGTCGGACCACCTGGGGAAGGCGATGATGGGACGTGTCAGTAGCGGCACACGGAAAGGGGGCGGAGCCAGTGGGGGGTGGAGCCAGTGGGGGGGGGAGC